TTTCTAAAATAATGCGAAAATTGTTTAAATATGTTTATACATATATATATATATATTCATGTAAACAACTTTTTATGGGAGTACAATATCATTATGAATTGATGAAAATTTCAAAATTCAGCAAGATGCAGCAATTTTATCAAAATAAAATTTATAAATAATATATTTTGTCAAAAGTTAGAAAAATGCAGATTTTGAATATTTTATAATAATTACTCAAAAAACTCGCTTGAGTTTTTACTTAAAATTGCGCAAAGTTTCGGACAGCACACAATATTTATAAAATATTTACGAAATATTTATAAGATTTATTTTAAATATTTTGTAAATATTTTTTGTGGTCTTACGACGAATTCGATTGGAAAAACTAGTGCGCGCATATTAAAGCCGTTGTACATTGATTTAATTTGAGTATAAAAGTAAAATGCAAATATTTCGAATTATAGAATACATATTTTACTTAATAGTACAATAAAATGTATTGAGTATTTCAGTATTTAATCAATTTCTATGTTTATGCATAAACATATTTTTAACGTTATTTTGTGTAACGACGGTTTTTAATGTACAGTGCGCATTGCATCCAATCGAATTCGCTATTAGATTGCACAGATCATAAACATTTATTATAAATATTATAAAATATTTATTGTGAAAATGTTGTAGTAAATGCTATGAAAATATTTATTGAGGCATTATATAATCCAAATAAAAAATACTTATTAGAAATATTTATTTATATTTATCATAAATCCCATACCGCACAGAGAAAGATTGCAGAAACATTGCAGAATAATTTCATTGAAACATTGCAATATTGCGTGATGATTGTGAAACGTTACTAAATCATTATTGCAAAATTCCAATAATGTTTCCAATAGTGTTTCATCAAGATCAAGAAATTCAAAAAATCTTATCTTGGTTTTGTTTTGAACCAAGATAAGATCAAAACAAGAAATTGGAAATTGATTTCAAGACAAGACAAAAAATTGTTATGAAGACCAAGATTTCTTGACAATAAGTCAAGAAATTTCTTGAAATTTTTTGAATTTCCGTGACAGTTTTTATTTTTAATACTTTATTATTTTAATATTTTATTATTTTATCTCTGATTTGAAAAGTTTTGAATATGTTAGGTTTCAACATTTTTGTATTTATTGGTATTTATAATAGGTGTGTTATATAATATAGAAATGTATATTTTCATATATTTTTCACTAAATAGCAAAATAGCATATGAGTAGAGTGTAAATCGATTAATGAAAGAGTGAAGTCCTTGATCTAAATTAAATTATATTCACCGATCCTTGTATTAGATATTAACCTTTACATTTATCCTTGTATTAGATATTAACCTTTACATTTATTAAAGGAATACATATAAAATCAATATTGCGAGATTACTTGCAAAAGTATATTATATATAAACATTATATATTATATATAAACATTTACGTATTTCTATTAATACAAGGTGCGTCCCAAAATTTTCCGAACTTTTTCAATAGGGATAGGTCGGGTGGCGCCATCCGTGTGTTCGATTGCGCGTTTGAAAGGTACATCCCTAGCTGACTTCCAGTAAAAATTTCATGACATTTGGTTCAGTGGAAACGAAGTTATGGCGTCTCAAGTGTCAGTATGTTGTATACATCGGTACGAGAATGAACTTCGAACAAAGAGCCAATATTAAGTTTTGTTTTAAACTTGGTAAAACATTTACCGAAACCCATAATTTGATGAAACAAGTTTATGGTGACGAGACGTGGTGTTTTCAATACGATCCAGAAACCAAGCGTCAAAGCGCGGAATGGAAGGCGCGAAACGACCCAAAACCCAAAAAATCGCGTTTAGAGAAGTCAAAAGTGAAGACAATGCTCATTTGTTTTTATGATTCCAAGGGTATTGTGCACAAAGAATTCGTTCCAGCAGGCCAAACAGTTAATGCTGTATTCTATGTAAGCGTTTTGAAGCGTTTGGTGCACCGCATTCGTCGTATTCGGCCAGAATATCGCGAAGGAGGAAGTTGGCGCTTGTTACACGATAATGCGCCATCTCACCGTTCGACACTTGTCACTGATTTTTTGACTAAAAATCACATTTTAACAATCAACCATTCCCCGTATTCGCCTGATATGGCACCTTGTGACTTCTACCTATTCGGCAAAATGCATTTGTCCATGAAAGGAAAGCGGTATGTGGACGTAGAAGACATCCAAAGGGCTTGTACCACTATTCTGAAGGACGTGCCTTTGAACGACATAAAACACTCATTTGAAATGCTTTTAGATCGTGCCAAACGTTGTATTGAGTCCGACGGGGACTACTTTGAATAAACAATTTGAATTTGAAAAAAAAAGTAAACCGTTGTTTTATTTCAAAAGTTCGGAAAATTTTGGGACGCACCTTGTAGTATCAATTAAATCAAGAATGATTAAAATATATAATAATTATAATAATTATATCTAATAAGCTCAGGAATCTAATAATCTGAAATAGTTATATTTGGCAGTAACCTCATGATATTAAAAATGATAATTTGAGAAATATTTTTAATTTTTATTAATAGAATTGTCCATAAGATAGTAGGCACATTTTTAAACTGTGAATTTAAACTACTTAGTAAACTACGAGGCGATTCGACATTCAATTTGTACCTATGTTTTCTTATTATCTCTTACGATGCAACGTAGTCAACGAGCCAAAAGCCCTGCTTAAAAAATTAAGAAATTTCAAGAAATTCAAGATTCTTGAATTCAAGAAAAGAAATACAATGTCAAGAAATAGTCAAGACAAGAAAAACGAAATTTCTTGAAAATCAAGACAAGACAAGAAATGCTCTTTAAGACAAGAAATTTTGTCTTGATGAAACACTAACAATGTTAAGATGTCCGCTTATTGCAACAAAACATTCCAGCTTTATTGCAATGTAATGTATTTGAATAATCTCTAAAATGAAAACTATTTCTATACATAAAACTCATTAATTTTAATTTTTCTACAAATCACATTTCTAATGATATGTGCTTTCCAAAAGCAATTGTTTATGATAAAACAATAAAATATTCTAATAAACAGTAAATATAGTATTAATTCTGAAGGATAAATTTATTCGTGAGGATAAAGCATGTATGTGTGTGGCCCGAACAAACTACACATAAATATTATCCACATTAATATAATAATACAATTGCTTAGTAAGTTAATCATGGATTAAATAAATCACGAATGATTTTTTTTAATTCGAAACCACTTCGAGTCAATTGAAATTGATTAAAAAATGACGGTATGAAATTTATCAATAAAGTTCAAGCGCTGGTTTATTCTTGCATTCACATCAGGCATAAATACATCATCGATCGTATAATTAATATTTCGATAAATCGGTTTTCAGCAGCTTAATTGCTTATCGTTTTATCCGATAAATGATGCATCGATTATATCAAACTCGATATTATACAATATTTTGATTTCATATTTAAAATAGATATAAAACTTAGCTAATGAAATGGCTGTCAAATAATAGATCAATACATTTTTTATTTAAATATAAAATGAATTATATTAATTATTATATCATAAAAACAACTGTTAATCTAAAAAACTGTACTACATAAATATTGTAAAAGCTTATATTTTTATATTATTGTAACAATTAAAGAATTACAGTTTTGCAATGTTTGTGGAATATTACAAGCATATTATTGATATTTTGCAGGCATATTGTTAATTTACATTTCTGTAATATGTCTGCAATATTACATTCCAATCTTCAATATTGCAATATTGCAGCAATAGTGCTTCAATCTTCTGTGCTGTATGGGATATTACATAAAATATTTAGTCTATATTTTAATAATATTTTGAATAAAGTTTTATATAAAATGTGTATGAAATATTTATATAAATAACATTTCCAAAAATGAATATTAATAAATATTTATCATAAATATTCTGTGCTAGGATGTGTATAATATTTTAGTTGTGATATTTTTACATACTAGCTTGATCAAAAAGTTTCCGGAATTCATTCAGAAAATTCACAATACAAGGTTATTCATCAAAAGTGATATTGTCCCCTTCAAAGTACTCTCCAGCGACTGCAACGCACTTATGCCAGCGCTTGATCCAGTTCTCGAAACATTTCTGGAACTCTATTATTGGTATAGCCATCAGAGCCGTCTTCGATTTTTCCATTACCTCCTTTCGGCTGTTAAAACGCGTTCCCCACAGGTTTTTTGACTCGATCGAACAGAAAAAAATCGCAGGGAGCCATATCGGGTGAATTCGATGGCTGTTGGATGGTATTCGTTGTTGCAAACTCATTGTTGTAAATTCAACTCCATTTTTAAAACTGTAAAAAATCGAAAACACGCGCAGAGGTAGATGTACTCAAGACGGCGTAATTTTTACAAATGTCAAGCTATGGCGATAAAATTTGATGGAAATGTCAATGATAGATGTGGCAACCTAGCCAAAAAAAAGAACTCAAATCAGCTGACTCGAGCATCACCTGGTGGTCTCTTCCGGAAACTTTTTGATCAAGCTGATATTCTATTCATTATATATATTCATGCCATTATTTTAGGAACCAAGCATATTTAAATTAACTTGATTCTTCTTCTTTTTGCGTTTGAAAATGAATTCAACATTGATAACATTACAATTGAATTCTTTTTGATTCTTTTTTAAATTTTCTGTGCTATCTGAAAAGATACAATCGCGATCTCATTCTCTCTCTATTGTAAGGTATCCGTTTTTATTTTAAAACTAGCTTAAGTAACGTTTTAAGATACTAGTACAACCATACAAGTTTGATTGACTTATGACATCTTAAGACTGTACTTAGGACAGTCTCAAATATAAAAATCAATTACGCCGAATATTGGTCTACATATAGTGAAGGAATTTTGTTCGCGTCATGCGACACAGTCGCGCTCTCGCGGCTGCAGTGCGTATTAGCGAACGGCGCGAATATAGGCGCGCATGATCGCGTATAAGTGGCGCACGTCGCACCGGTCGCGCAGTCAGTCTTGTCCGATCCGTCAAGTAGTTTGTGAGCGTCGTTCATTCCATCGGTTTTCGCGGCGCTCATATAATCTACCCGTCTCTTTCTTTCTCTCTCTCGCGTCTACGACGGACCACGTCAGACTACAATCCCATTCCACGACATCCCACATCGCGTTACTCTCCAGCTTCTTTCACGACACGGTCGCGGCTATGACCTATGACAGAGAACACGACACGTCGGCCGGCGGCGTTTCGTTTGCCGCGGTAATCGCATAAAAAGCCCTCCGTGTAACCGCTGCACGGCGTCGCGCACGAAGCCACGGGACGTCGATGAAGGTAGTGTCGACGACGGCGCGCTCGAAGTCAAGCGCGCCTCGAATCATCGAGCCGGAGAACCGAGAGAACGTGACGGAGGAGACGACAAGAAGGCAGACGAGATATATATATACGAATTTCGGTTGACAGCTGACAGTCGAGCGGCGTGAAGAGAAAGAGAAAGAGAAAGAGAGAGTGAGGAGAGACAGAGAGCCTCCTCGTTCTCGTCCTCGTCCTCGTCCTCGTCGTCGTGGTGCCGCGTGTGCGTGTGTGCGTGCATGTGTGCGGGTACGGGCGGCGGATCACCCGGTGCTGAGGAGGACGCGACGGCGACGGCGACGGCGACGGAGACGGCGACGGATCGCGGACGTGCGACACGATGACGGCGATCCTGGTCTCCGTGGCGGAGCTGTCCAACATATTCTCGGTGCTCGCCGTGCTGATATGCTTCTGCGGGGTCTTCCTCTTTATCATGAGGTACGTAAAACCGCGTTGTACGAGCCACTAACTAGCCCTGTCATTCTCTCTCTCTCTCTCTCTCTCTCTATATCTATCTATCCGTCCGTCCGTCTCTTGCCGCTTTGTCGGCTATCCTACGCGCATATCATACGCGTCATTCGCGAACAGCGTAGGTATGTGCAATGCGTACGTATAGATGCAGCTAGAGATAACAGACGAATCGCGAAGGTGGTTCGTATCGGGCCGAGGAAGCCAGTCTTTAGAGTAATTGTCCCTATTAATGTTGCTTTTGTATTTAAAGCCTATTCTACAATGTGCATTTTGTTCCATGTTTCTTGTTTTTTGCCATTTTTTTACATCTTATCTTTTCGTCTGTTATCTGATTTTTCGTTTTTTATCGCCCGAGATAAAAGTTGACGGAAGGAACAAGAAATATGATTGTCAATAAAACAGTTGCAACGAGGGAAAAAAGCAAGAGATAAAGAATAAGAAATGTAAAACAAAGACCACATTGCAGAATAATAGGCTTTAAAGTTAACTTTGGAAGAAACGAGAAATAAGAGTAGCAAGAAATGCAATTGTTAAGGCGGTTGCAAAGGGAGATAAAAAGCAAGAAGTGCATATTGTAGAATAGGCTTAAATAAGCCATAAAGACCACAAATCAGCACAAATAAATAAGAAAGTGTTTTTTTTTATACACAACATATTTACATATTTTTGAAGTTCAAAAATTACAATTTTGTGTATATCTTTAACTTAATAAAAATACTCACTTAATAAAAAATATCTTTTTTATTAAGTTAAATTATTAATGTTTATGATGAAAGATAATATTTTATTTTTTTTTAATTATTAAAGTATAGTGAATATTTTTTGTGAGATAAGTAATTTATGTAAGTCCAGTAATATCGTAAGATTTTAAGTTTGTTCATACTTGATGTGCCTTTCAAGGGGCGATGACTCTATTAATGTGTCCTCAATTTATGTGGCTATCCGCGTTTGACTCATTTTAACATATAATTGCTAAAACAGATAGTAAACGTAAGCTATTCGTTTAACAAATAAGTTAATATTGTAAACCATTATTTTGATTATATTTATAATTTCAATGTACACTCGTAACACAATGCTCTCAGCTCCAATACAAAGCAAAACAGTTTTTTGTATCTATCAAGAACGTTAAAAAACATTAACATTTTTCAGATTAAAAAGATATTGTAAGAAAAAAAATTGAAAAACTTAATATCGATTTTAAGTAGGTAAAATTAAAGCTATATATATGTAATAATTAATTCAGCAAGTTGGCTTAAAGGAATTTTATTTTCTGTGATGACATGACGTGTAGCTTGACGTCAGTGCGAATTAATTCTTATTTAAAACAAAATCAATGAGCAATGTATCAAACACGAAATTAGTGCTTTTTTAAAAAACAGTAAATTACAATATTTTTTAAATTATTTGCTTCTGCTTTCTTGAAATAGATCTTTGGGAGGTCAATCACGAATGATTAATGATCTATAGGTTCCAGATTCAATTTTGGCTCTCATATGTATCTACATTGAAAATAAAAATATATTTGTGATTATAATTGTATGATAAAATATTATTAGAAGCTTCATTTTTATGGTTATTACTATTAATTTTACTAATAATAATAACCATATAGTATAGGTCTCTCAAACATAAAAAAAATTGTATTATAATTATAACTTATAATAATTTCAAATGTAATAAAATATCAAGACATAAATAAAATAAAGCAATTATATAAATTGTAGATTAAAAAGAAAAAAAAATTTAAGGATTAAAGTGCCATTAAGAGGAATTGATAAAAAGAATAAAAGTATGAAAACAAATGAATTATATATAATATAATAATTTGAAAGGAGACAGGTTGAAAGCACTTTAACTATTATTACCTAACGAGACATTGTAAAATAAATTTAAAGTTTGTTCGTCGCATTAAAAACTGCATTAAAAACGAGCGCATTGGAGTGAGTAGGAGCTATGATAGGAGCGTATTGAAGCACGTTGGAGCAACGAACAAACCTTTCCAAGTGATGTCATACGGGAGCTTGTTGGACGAGATACCTCGAGGCTTGTGGTTGCATCAATCGAGACGTCACGCTGGTCTCGGAGACGAGCGAGACGAGGGACACCTTTAGAGGTTAACGCTCTCGTGTTTAGCATCTTGATTAAGACCTTATAAAAGTCTAACTACAAACGATTTTGTCAAAATCTTACAAGAGGAAAAGCATTGTGATAACAGGGTGATAATTAAGTATTCGTGGTGTCCAGCGGTCCTTGAATATCCTTGGACTATACTGGAATTTTATGTTCTGGAAAATTCCTGGAAAATCTCTGATATTTCAGGGATTGCTTGGAATTTATCATTCTTTCATTCTAAAAAAAATCAGAGCGTGAAAAAAGAAAAAAATAATAAGAAGAAAAGTTGTATCTAAGTTGTATCTAAATTCTCTCTTAAAGATGCAATAGAAAATGAGAAACTTGAATTTAATAGAACATAGTAGAAAAATTGTTTGCGTTGACGGAATGTTTGCTTGATATTATTTATAAAGCAATACATAAGATCGTTCCAAATTTGTTAGCGTTTTAATTCATTCGTATAGAATCCTAGTTTAAATACAAAGCATATAATATTATGCAAATCGATAAGATCAATTCTGGAAAAACAGAATTTTTACCTAGAATGTACTTGGAATTATTCTTGAACTGACTAGACTAACTAGATTTTGCTGGACAATTAAAGGATTGTTTACACAAATTCAAAACGAAAACTTTATATAACTATAGGGTAACTATCCCTATTAATGTGCCTTTTAGCCAACTTGCTTATTACTGAATTAATTATTAAATATTGTAGCTTTAATTTTATCTGCTTGCAATCAATATTGGTTTTTCAACTATTTCTTTTTCTTATAATATTTCTTTAATCTAAAAAATGTTAATACTTTATAATGTTTTTGATAAAAATAAAAAACATGTTTTTGTCCCTATCAGTGAGTTTTCCAAGCGACGATGGCCTTATTAATGTGCTCCCAATTTGTATGCCTATCCTCATTTGACTCATTTTAATATATAATTACTAAAACAGGTAATAAATTTAAACTAATTGTTTAAGTTAATATTACATAAATCATTATTTCAATTTATTTCAATATACACTTATAACACAACATAGCTTCAATATAAGGCACATTAATAGGGACAAGCTTGAAATCTTGTACGTATTCACTGGATTCACATAAATTCTTCATATCTTTTGAAAAATATTTAAAATACTTTAATACTCAAAAAATAAAATATTATCTTCGGTATCGTATGCATTAATAATTTAACTTAACAAGAAAAAATATTTGTTCTTATTTATTTGTGCTAGTTTTCTTTATGACTTATCGAAATACAAAAGTACACTAATAGGGACAGGCACAGTAATTGGGACAATTATGTCAATTTATAATTAATAATTAATAGTTATTACTTGTCAACTTACTTTCTCTTTCACGATACTGAAATTTAAATAGCGTCTTCTCTCACTATCGTCGTATTATTACGTTTATTTACATTGAACTAATAATATAAGGTTGCTAGGAACAGCGATCTTCCTATTCTATTTATATCGTTGAATTATCGCACCTTGAATATTATTAATTTAACTGTAAATTTAACTATATGATTTGTAGTTTTTTATCGAATTTTTTCAGATTTTTAATTTATGCAACCATATTTTTTTTCCTTGGAATAAAGAAAGATTGATTACGAGCGTATCGCAATGCATTTTATATTATATATTGCATTATTATACAAGATATTACAGGTTTTATGACGTTTTTAACGTTATCAAATGGGAAAGGTTTACAGAAACCACTTCATAATAAATTCGTATAAAATCGTGATTGAAACATTATATTTTTGAAAAAATTATTTTGTATTAATTTTATTCGAGATTTATTCCGAAGAATAAATGTAAATAAAAAAAGGTTAAAAGGCATAAGAAAAAGGTTTTTTGCCAAACGCTATGATCTGAAACGAGTTTTTTCGCAGGCCGTGCTGTTAGGTAATATTCAACGGACCTTCCCTAACTGCCACCTCGGGATAGCTCCGGAAGCGATAAATGACGTCATATAGTTATGTCTTGGATTACTATCGGTGATCGATGACAAAAGAAGAGATACGAGATTCGATACGAATTGGAACGCAAGGCAACGACCATGACGTCGTTAATTGCTTGTGACAGGACAGTCGAAATCCGACCAGGAAAACTTGCGACTAAACGGAACGTGAAAGACTTAGGCTAATTCTACAATGTGCTCTTTGTTTCCTGTTTCTTTCTGTCTGTCTCTCATCTTTTTGGTCAATAAGATAAGTGACAAGAGTAGAATTAGACTTAGGCCCAGTTCCAATAACTCAAGGTTAACTTTTAACCGAGGTTCAACTTATTCATTGTCCTTTCCAATTCTAGAAGATTGGAAAGAGATGAAAAACAAGTGCCATCTCGACTAACTCCGAGTTCATTGAAATTGGCCAATCGCATCAATAAGTAAAATAACAAATGCAATTGGTCAAACTAACTGTCGATTAAAGTTAATCGGAGTTGGTCGAAGTGGTTCTAGGGAGTGCGGAAACATATTCGATGTTTGATCAAGTGACGCGATAGCGTCTCACTTCAAGTGTTAGATACATTTTTCATGAGTACATTCTAAAAAAATGTTGGTGTGGTTAAACGTTATATACGTGCTTTTCAGTAAGAGACTTAGGTGACACAGTGAATCATTACAACCTAAAGCCTAATTTACAATATGCTGTTTGTTCTCTCCTGTTTCTTGCTTTTTATCACTTTTTACTTTTTACCTTTTTGCCTCTTACTCAATTTCTTCGTTTTTTGTCATGAGATAAAAGTTGACAAACTTAAAAAAAAAAAACAAGGAATATATTATAAAAGAAACGATTATCAATAAAACGGTCACAAAGAAAAAAAATGCATAAAGGAAAGAGCA